CCGCATGCCTTGGGATCGTGCTGATCCTGCGCCTCCTGCTCCTCCTGGTCATGCTGCTGCCGCCGCTCAGCAGCCGCAGCAGCAGGAACAGGAGAAACGCGAGAGCCCCCCCCCAGCAGCAGCTGATGGGGGGCTCTCGCGTTCTATGCGATGAGGTTAAGTCCTTCGCTATCGCGATGGGGAGGACGAGGAGGAGGAGGAAGAGGAGGAGGAGGAGGAGGAGGAGGAGGAGGAGGAGGAGGAGAGGAAATGGAAGAGGAGGAAGAGGAGGGGGGGCGAGGGAGGGGGGAACGCGGGAGGAGGGAGCAGATATGAAGGAGGAAGGATGAGGAGAAGGATGAGGAGGAACCGTGAGGGGGAGAAATGGGGGAATGCTGAGAGAGGTGGAGGGCGGAGCAGGAAAAGGGGGAGGATAAACAATAGAAGGAGCAGGATGAGGCGGAATAAGAGGAGGAGGAGGAGGAAGATCAGGATGATGATGATGCTGATGATGATGATGATGATGATGATGATGATGATGACGATGACGATGACGATGACGATGACGATGATGATGATGATGATGCTGCTGATGATGATGATGATGGTGATGGTGATGGTGATGATGATGATGATGATGATGCTGATGATGATGATGATGATGATGATGATGATGATGACGCTGATGATGCTGATGCTGATGATCATGCTGATGGTAATGGTGATGGCGATGGCGATGACAATTGTCATGTGGAGGAAGAGGATAATGATGACACGGTTGATAAGGAGGACGATGACGACGAGGGAAGGATGATGATGGGGAAGAGGAGGAGGAGGAGGAGGAGGAGGAGGAGGAGGAGGCGGAGGAGGAGGAGGAGTGCGGATGGGAGGTGGGGGAAGGAGGAGGGGGGTATGACGCCGTTGTTGTTTTGTGGAGGGCTCGGGATACCATTTGTCTGAATGGTACTCGGAGGTAATGAAGAGCAACCTCTTTTACCTAGTGCTCATCTCCCTCGTGCTCCCCCCTCCTCCCATCCCCCTCCCCTTCCCCTCCCCTCGCCTCCCCTCTTCCTCCTCCTCCTCCCCTCTTCTTCTCTTGCTTCTTGCCTCCTCCCCCTCCTCCTCTTCCTCCTCCTCTTCCTCTGCCTCCTCGCCCTCGCCCTTATCCTCCTCTCCTACTCTCCCTCCTGCTCCCCCTCCCCCTCCTTCTTCCCCTCCTTCTTCCCCTCCTTCTCATCCTTCTCCTCCTCACCCCCCTCCTTCATGAGTGCCCGTTGACCTCAATCGGAGCAATCTACATCAATAGTTTCGGTTTTCCCAGTGGGCGCAGTGGGGCAGGGAGCCAGGCGTGGGCCTTGACAGCCCAGTGAGGGAATCAGCCAAACTGAGCGCTTCCCTCATCGGGCCAGTGAGGAAAGCAGTCGCACTGAGCGCTCCCCTCATCGGGCCAGTGAGGGAAGCAGCGCATTTGATTCCTTCCCCCACATGACCAGTGAGGGAAGTCGCGACTTCCAGCGTTTCCATCGCCGATGGTTTCGCATGATTCCTGATCTGGTCGCTGCTTTTGGCTGTTCGCTGGTCGTGCCATGCGCATGCTCAGGGCTCCCTTCCTACTCCTCCTGCCCCTGCCTCTGCTGCTGCTGCTGCTGCTGCTGCTGGGGGGCTCTCGCGCTCCCTGTGACGTTCCTGAATGTGACCCCCCGCTATCGCGATGGGGAGGAGGAGGCGGAGGAGAAGCGGGGGCGAGGGAGGGAGGAACGCGGGAGGAGGTATGATGATGCTGCTGCTGATGATGATGACGATGACGATGATGACGATGACGACGACGATGACGACGACGATGATGTTGATGATGATGATGCTGATGATGATGATGCTGCTGGTGATGCTGCTGATGATGATGATGATGATGATGCTGATTACGATGATGGTTATACGGATGACGACGGTGATGATGATGATGATGATGATGATGATGATGATGATGCTGATGCTGATGATGATGCTGATGATGATGATGATGATGCTGATGATGTTGATGCTGATGCTGATGCTGATGCTGATGATGATGCTGCTGATGCTGCTGATGATGCTGATGACGACGATGCTGATGCTGATGCTGATGCTGATGCTGATGCTGATGCTGCTGTTGCTGCGGCTGCTGCTGACGATGATGATGAGGATGATGATGATGCTGATGCTGATGCTGATGCTGATGCTGATGATGATGATGCTGATGATGATGCTGCTGATGATAATGATGATGATGATGCTGCTGCTGCTGATGATGATGATGATGATGATGATGATGATGATGATGATGCTGCTGCTGCTGCTGCTGATGATGATGATGATGATGATGATGATGATGATGATGATGATGATGATGATGATGATGCTGCTGCTGCTGCTGCTGATGATGATGATGATGCTGATGATGATGATGATGATGATGATGATGATGATGATGATGATGATGATGATGATGAGATGGAGGAGGATGCAGATCATACTCAGGATGAGGAGGGAGGGGGATCTGGTAGGTGGAGGGTGGAGCAGGAGAAGGACGAGGGGGGGACCGAGCAGGAGCAGGAGGAGGAGGAGGAGGAGGAGGAGGGGGAGGAGGAGGAGGAGGAGGAAAGGGATGGACCAGTATGCGGAGGGGTTGGAGGAGGGGGGATATGTAAGAAGAATTTTGCCCCAGGCTTCTTGGGGCGTGCCATTGTTCGCGCGCTGTGGAACACATGGGCCGTGGCTTCCCTAACTGGGCTGTTTTGGCCCGTGCCTCGCTCATTGCCCCGCTGCGCCCATTCACAAATCTGAGACTGTTGATGCACATTGCCCCGACTGAGGTCCACGGGCACTTCTGAGGAAGAGGATCAGGAGGAGGCGAAAGATGAGAAAGGTGAGAAGAAGGAGGAGAGGAGGAGAGGAGAGAGAGTGAGGAGGCAGTGGGGGAGGAGGAGGAAAAAGAGGAGGGAGAGGAGGAGAGGAAGAGGAGGCGAGGAGGAGGAGGAGGAGGAGGAGGAGGAGGAGGAGGAGGAGGACGAGGAGAACGAGGAGGAGGAGGAGGAAGAGGAGGAGGAGGAAGGAGGAATGGGGGAGGGGGATTGGGAGAGGGGAGCGGGGAGCACGAAGATGATGAGCATTGGGGATGGGAGGGTGCACTCTACTACCTCAGACTGCAACTGAGATAAATGGTGTCTGAGACCCCCCTCAAACAGAACGTCTTTATATCCTTCCCCTCGTCCCCCAGCCACTCCCTCCTCTTCTTCATCCTCCTCCTTTCCTTCGTCGTCATTGCCCTCCTCCTGATCAGCCGCATCATCATCATCATCCTCCACGTGACCATCGTGATCATCATCGACATCTTCATCATCAACATCCTCCTCATCATGATCCTGGTCATCCTCCCCCTTCTCCTGCTTAATCCTCCACCTCTCCCATCATTGTCCTTCCCCCCTTCCCTCCCTCTTCCTCATCCTTTTTCTCATCCTTCCTCCCTCATCTCCGCTCCCTCCTCCCGCGTTCCCCCATCGGTCGCCCCCTCTCCTCCTCCACACCCTCATCGCGATAGCGACGGATCACCTCATCACGGGGAACGCGAGAGCCCCCCAGCAGCAGCAGCAGGAGGAGCAGGAAGGGGAGCAGGAGCAGGATCAGCACGATCCCTGAGCACGCGGAGGGCGGGCCGATCTTTGGGGGTCTGTTGGGCCCTCCTGGGCGGTCGGGAACCCGAATGCGAAGGCGCCCAAACCTTTGAACAGAAACAGAAAATCAATGGAATTGAAGCTAAGGGTTCCCTGCTGGAGCTCTACTGGACCATGGCGGAGCTCACTGGCGGCGTCTTGGGATTGTCTTCGGGCCATCTCTGGGCTGGCCAGCCAGTGATCCTTCTTCTTGGGCGCCCTCGGAGATCCCTTGGGGGTCTCTTGGGGCGCTTCTGGGGCGCTCTCGGGGGCCGTGAAGACCGCCGCCAGGAGTTCCAGCATCCGTGGCCCCCAATTTGCCGGACACTGCCGGGACTTCTCCGTGGTATATCTCGTCCGGAGTCCCCCAGGAGCCGCCGCGCGCGAACTAGAGCTATTCCGAATTTCGTGTAATCGATGTGAACACACCTCCGGCCCGTTGGCCGGCGAACTACGACCACCATAACTTAGCTTCGCGTCTTCTTCGCATGCGGTTCAAATACTTTCTCATTTGTCTTACCATAGGCTCGGGTCGTTAGTGTATGTTCGCAGGCACCGTCTACGTTTTTGACAAAATTGAGATCTCGGTTGGACTCGCTTGCGTTTGGCAGCGGATGGTTTCACGTAGTAGGAGGTACAGCGCGTCTCTCCACGCTGACCGAGCGTCTCCCGGGCCGGGCCCCCTCATTTTAAGAGTTACCCTTCTAGGGGGCCACATGCGAACCCTACCCCTACCCCCCACGATTTCTGAGGGGGAGGGTGGGGTTCACCTCGCTCGGGAGCCCCTAGTTACCCTTTGGCGAAAGTGATGGTTCCAGGCTTTGGCGAAGCTGAGAAAGCTTGGGAATGAGGGGGGGAACGGGGAGGGGGGGAGTGCCCCTGCGCCCCCCTCGAGCAGCCTCCTGGGAAGCCAAGGGGGGAGGAGGAGGAGGAGGAGGGGAGGAGGAGGAGGAGGAGTGAGGAGGAGGAGGAGGAGGAGGAGGGGAGGAGGAGAGGAGGAGGAGGAGGAGGAGGAGGAGGAGGGCGGAGGAGGAGGGGAGGAGGAGGAGGAGGAGGAGGAGGAGGAGAGAGGAGAGGAGGGGGAGGAGGGAGGAGGAGGAGGAGGAGGAGGAGGAGGAGGAGGAGGAAGGAGGATGAGGAGGGAGGAGGAGGGGGAGGAGGAGGAGGAGGAGAGGGGAGGCGGAGGAGGAGGGAGGGAGGGGAGGAGGAGGAGGAGGAGGAGGAGGAGGAGGAGGAGGATGGTCCTCGTCGCCGCCCCGCCGCCCCTCCCTCTCGGCCCCCGCCCCCCGCGGTCCTGCGCCGCTCCCTCGCCGACTCTCTCTCTATCCCGAGGACCCGCGGGAGGCGCCGCTGATAGACCCGAACTTCCTGGCGACGCCCGAGGACGTGGAGGAGCGGGGCCCCTCCTCGGGGCGCAGGTGACACCAGGGGCCGCCACGAGGGCGCGAAGTTGCTCGAGGTTCGAGGTCCTCCTCGCTCTCCTCGTCTTCTTTTTTCTCTCCCTCGGTGGGCGGCGCGAGAGGGCACGAAGCTGAGCGCGCTGCGCTCGTGGCGCAGCGCGGAGCGCGAATATAGCTGCAGACCCCTTGGCGTCGTGGAACCATCACGACGTAATTAGGGGGTCCGGGCAGAGTTTTTTATTTTTATTTTTTGCTGTTCTCTTCTTGTCTGGAAGCTTCCAGATGCCTTCGCGGCCCGCGGTGATCTCCGGCAGTCCAGGGCTGCCAGGATCGCCCCGAGAGGCCGCCCGAGGCTCGAGCCGTGGGCCCAGGGCCAGCCGAGGGAGGGGGCCGGGGCGCGCGCGCGCAACGGGTGGGGGAGTCAGCGCCGACGAGGGCCGCGCTCTCTGCCGATGCCTCCAGGCCGACTCGGCTCTGCGAGCCGCTTCGTGGCCTGCCCAGTGCTAGCGCTGGGGCCCCGGCTGTCACGGGTCTCCGCTGGCCCAGGTCAGCGCGCTCCCGACCCACGGCCCGATCAGCGGGGAGGGGAGGGGGGTGGAGGATGGAGGCCTTCTGTTCTGGCTGGTCTCCTGCGGATGCAACGCCGCAGCCACTCCCTGGCTGCCCTTGGAGTGTGGTCTTTGGAGAGGTGGGCTTCCTCGAGCAGCGAGGATCGAGACTTTTGGAGGCGCTTGGCCCTCTTGGGACCTCTAGAGTCTCTAGAGGCCCGAGGAGGCCTGCAGGGGCCTCGGGAGGCCTCTGGGGACTTCCGGAGACCTCAGGAGAGCCCCTGAAGACGTCCAAGGCCAGCGGAGAACCAGCGCACTCTGCGGCGCGATGCAATCCCATACCTCCAGCGTGGAGTATCACACTGCCACGTGCGTTCAGTTGTTCGGGGATTTTGGAGTCTTGGGGCCGTTTTCGGACGCTCCGTTTCTGCAGAAGCGACCTGCGTAGCGAAGTTCGTGCAAACGATGGGGCCGAGGACGCCAAAGCCCGATGTATTGAACGTTTGCCAGCGTGGACCCCAGGCAGTGGATTATCGTGCTCTCGATATGGACTCTATGTGGTGCAGCCTGCGTGGTGCAATTTGTTATGAAGCGGCTGAAGTTGTGAACTCGATGCTCGTTGTCGACTCCACGGTTCAAGCAGATGTCCCACCCACCCACCCGAGACTTTTTGGCATCATTCAGCTGGCGTAGTGACGCGAGGGCCCTTCTCATACAGATCTGTGACTCGGGCCGGTGAGTGCTGCTGCTCGTGCTGATAATGATGGCTCTGACCACGAGGGCGACGAATCAACAATGACGATGGTGATGATGAGAAGAGGATGATGATGCTGCTGATGATGATGGTGATGGTGATGGTGATGATGATGATGGTGATGGTGATGGTGATGTTGATGTTGTTATTGATGATGCTCATGATCATGATGAGTGTGATGATTCTGATGAGGATGACGATGACGATGATGATGATGGTGGTGATGATTATGAAATGCTGATACTGCTGCTGCTGATGATGATGGTGGTGATGGCGATGTTGATGTTGTTGATGGTGATTGTGGTGATGCTGCTGCTGCTGCTGATGATGATGATCATGGTGATGATGATGCTGATGATGATGATGCTGATGATTATGTCGATGATGTTGATTGTGTCGATGTTGATGATGCTGATGATGATGCTGCTGATGATGATGATGGCCATGCTGATGACGATGATGCTGCTGTTGCTGATGATGATGGTGGTGACGATGACGACGACGACGACGACGACGACGACGACGATGATGATGATGATGATGATGATGATGATGATGATGATGATGATGATGATGACGACGGTGGGGATGACGATGGCGGCGACGATGATGTTGGTGATGCAGATGGTTGTGGTGATGATGACGGTGGCAATGATGACGCTGGCGATGATGATAACGCCGGTGCAGATAAGGAAGTGCGCGCGCATATAAGTTGGTACGGGCAGACTGATTTTTCATTGAAGAACCATTTGGGCTTCGCACACGCACACGCCCCCCCCCCCCCCACACACACACACACGCACACGCGCACGCACACGCACACGCACACGGACACGCACACGCACACTCACGCGCACACGCACATTCACACGCACACGCACACGCACACGCACACGCACACGCACACGCACACACGCACACTTGCGCACACGCACACGCACACGCACACGCCGCATGCACGCGTCCCTGGATAACAGCATCAAGTACAACGTCTCCCAGTCTGCCCCTTCGCGTGCCCGTCGTCCATCATCCCTCCTCTCACCATCCTCCCCCTCCCCATCTTTAATTCTTCCTGTCTCCCATCATGGGCTTGGATCTTGGTCGAGGTGGTGGTTCTCACCCTTTTCGCCCATTCTTGTTTTTTTCCCTTGTCCATTCCTCCAGGCCATGCTCCATTTTTCTCTTCCGCGTTCTCCCTTCTTCTGTGGAGCCTCCATCCCTTTGTCTGTCTCTTTGGTATGCCGCGTGGCGCATGAGGACCAGAGGAACGCTTTCCGGCTCACGGTCGAGATCTTGTCTCAGAAGGCTTTCGAGCCCTTCGTGAAGGAGCCGTTCTCCCCCGAGAGGGGATTCGACATCGACAGCGATGCCGCAGTCGACGCGTGGATACGGCAGAACAGCCACTCGGGCTACCATCTGAACGGCACGTGCGCGATAGGCGCACCCGCAGTCACGCGGAGGGCGCGAATGGATGTATGAGGAGGAGGGGGGTGGACAAGGACAAGGACAATGCGCTTGGAGGGCCCCATGGCTGTCACTACTGACTTACTTAAACCTCTGCGAAGCAATACGGATGCAGCAGAGACATGGCGAAGCGGCGGGCGGGAGCCTTGAAATCTGTGTATGAGCCTTTAACTCGGTGTAGGGGCCCTTCCGGTGGAGGTCAGAGGAGGGGGAAAAGAAAGAGAGACAGGAGACGACGACACTCACAAGCCGCAAGGGGAAAAGGAAGGCAAGACCGGTGCGACCTCAGGCCCCACGGGCCTGTCTTTGGCTCAGTCACCGTGCTCCGCTCGCATCTGAACCTGATCCCCTGGGATGGCGTTCAGGTGCCCTGGGCCTGGCGCCACCGACACCGCCCACAGATCTCCCGACCCGCTGCTCGCGCTGGCTCCTGGCGGGCTCCGGAGGTGTGGTCCACCCCTGGCCGCAGTTGGAATCGTCGGCGTCCGCGCTGTCGTGGGTGGCGCCTGGGCTGGCATCTCGGCCTCGGCCCAGTTCTTGCAGCTGTCCACCGTTGCGTCTGGCATGCAGAACCATTCGTCGTGGTCCTGCTGGAGCTTGGCGCACTGGTCGATCTGGTCGCGCCGAGGCTTGTGGAGGTCGAGCTCGCCTGCGAACGGTGCCTGCTGGAGGATGCTCTTGTCCATGCGAGCTCCCCTCGGGTTCGTGGTATAGTCGATGGCTGGGTTCATCTTGCAAATGTGCGAGCTCAGCATGTGCACCGCCAGCGTGCTCTCGTGCTCGTCTTCTAGGGCGTTGCACTTCTTGTAGTCGGGCCTCGCGATGCTGTGGACCACCATCTCCTTCTGGCCATGTAGCTCCGACAACGTTTCGTTCATTCTTTCCATGGTTGATTCGTGCACTTGTCCAGTCTTCCCCAGTTTGGCTGTCGCAGCTGAGAGTCAGTGCCTGTCCGTGCCCCCCGCCGACGGCTGGTTCTCTCTATGGAAGCAGTTGGAGCCCCCTTGCCACCTTGATGATTCGGATCGAGAAGCCACTGTGAATGGGTAAGCTGGTTGGCAGGCCGGGTCCAGCTGATTAAGGCACCGCATTGTGCGGTGCCCGACCCCTCCTGCAATAGCATAGGACCTACAATGGATTCGGGGCTTCTCGAACTTCCAGGAAATGTCTCCCGGGGCCCCAAGGCCCCCGGACTTTCAGAGCCCCAATGGAGCCCGCATGCGTGTCCAATTCATCATCATGTCGGCCCGCAGTAGTTCAGGGAGGGGCCAGCCTGCGTCGGTTCCGTAGATGGTGGTTGTCCCACCCGCCGTGCGCAGCCCGTTGGGTGCTGCATCTTCCCGTGCCGTGTATGCAGAATCCCACCAGCCCTCTCTTCGAGACCCAGATTTTATCACAACCTGCTTTGGATGTCTGCGGCATGCATGTGTATAGGTAAGACGTTCGAGCTGTTATGTAGTATAATCGTACTGGTGTCGTGTGGTGGTGTGCTGCAGTTGGTGGTAGGCGTGCTGCTATTGTGCAGGTCCGCTGATCTCTTGGAGAGCTGGGGCGTCTAAAGGCCATGCCAGATCCTACATGTGCTTCATTCTCTCGCTCTTGTCTGGGATTCATCGCAATGCTGTGAGCCGTACTGGGTCCATGCTAAGCTATCTTGCGATTTGCTCTTCCCAACTCGGCGCTCCGCTGCTGCTTGCAACGACAGCTGGTCTGTTTGGGCTGGCTCTCGTCACCGTCACATCAGGATTTGCCTGAACAGCCAGGGCCTCTCTGGCACCTCTTCCCTCTTCTAGTCTTCTGGCAGCCTAGGGCGATCCTGCCTGCGCGTGAACTTGGCCAGCTGCTTCTTTACAGTCCTCGCGAGTTAGCCCTTAGGTGCCACGTTCTGAGCCTTGCCCGCCTTGCACACTGACATCGCGATGTCCATGGCCCTTTCGAGTTGGGGAATGGATGCTCTCCCGTGGCCCTCAGGAAGGTCTCCTCGGCTTCCTGTCCCTCCAAGAGTGCTGCCAAGTTCGGGGCCAAGTTGATGCAGTACTGTATCTTCCCCTAGTCTGCCACGTCCTCCGTCTCGCCCTTGCTGTATGTGAATAGAACCCGTGTAATACCCTCATATATACTCCTTATCCTTACCTCTCCTGCGCCTGGCCGTTTGGGCTCAGGTATTGGGACAGATCGATCAGACCTTTGATCGTGCAGGAGGGAAAGACATCCATCTATCCCTCCTTCCCTCTACCAGCGGATCAGGGGTTCTGTGCCCTTGTACTTCAACCCCATACACCGGTTATCAGCCCTTTAAAGCTCACCGTCACCGAACCGCACGTTGTGATCTCGCACGCGGTCTCGATGGAGCCCCTGCGGCGCATGCGCCGCAAGGGATCCATCGAGGCCTCGCGTCCGAGCTCTCCAACGGCGCGACGGCTCGGTGACGAGTTGGAGAGCCTTAGTGCGGACTGTGTTGGTGTTCCAGATACCCCCCCCCCAGCTCCGACGGACCCGAGGCGCGGCTAGCTGCTGAGCTTCACCGCAGCGCCGCCCGCGGGGGGACAGGAGAAGGAGTAGGAACAGGAAGGAAGGAGTTTCACACGCCTGCCTTCGATCCTCCATCCCCTTCCCCGTCGGGAGCAATCCCAACCGCGTCAGGCGAAAGCCTCACCGGTCATGACACTCCAGGGCGCTTTCGCGCTAACCGCCGATGGACCTCAGGTGCTGGTACCCCCAGCCCTGCGACCGTCCCCGTGGCGGAGCACGTAGCCACCTTCGAGGAACTCAGTAGACCAGTGGCGGCACAGCCGCAGACGCAGTACCCCAAGGTATCATCGGATGAGACACCACACACACATGGTCCGAGTCGCAGCTCGTCCGCGCGCAACCGCCGTGGAGCCCCAGGCCCATGCGGCGAGAGTAGGTCGAGCCCGCGTACTGCCTCTCAGAGGCCATGCACTCCCCGCGACAGGGGACACAGGGAAGCTGACGCTCCCCACCTCTCCATCTCAGATGACCAGCTGGCGGAAACGTCCGCCGCAGGTGAAATAGCTGAGCTCAGAGACCAGGTTGAAACCTTCGTGTCCAGGCAATACTCTGGACTACTGCAGAGCGTTCAGACCAACGCTGCCGATACTGTAGCCATACGCCACGATCTGGACGGCGCCTTAGGGATCATTGATTCCAGGATCGCCGAAGATCGACGTATCATAGGTGAACTGCAGTACCAGGTTGATCGTGAGGTGTCACACTCAGGTGAACGAACGGCGATGGTCGAGAACCCGCGCAACTACCTCGCGCAGATGGAGCAACAGCTTGTGCTCGTACGCGACACAGGCGTTTCAGCAGTCAGGATTTTACATGATGAAATCCACGACCAGCTCCGCAACCGACCAACACCAGCCGAGGCCACCGACCTTGGCGACGTTCAGTCTCAGATCAATGATCTTCGGTCTTATCTAGACCACACTACGGCGACGCTTCGCAACGAAGCACACACCAACTCGTCGAACCTGATCGACATGTTGCAGCGTACTGAAAGAGTCATCACTCAAAGGCTTGATGCGACCAACGCTGTCGTGCAGCCACTCGCTAACCGGATCTCTGACGTCGAGCAGCGTTTTCCTGGTGTGCAGGACGCCCTGGCAGAGTTGCGTGTCGGACGAGCCCAGACTGATCAGCTGGATTCTCCTCCCACGGTTTACGATTTCGCCCGCCCCACTGACAGGTTGCAGGAGGTTGAGAGGGCGGCGGACCACGCGCAGTTGGAGCTCTCCCAGGTCATTCGTGAAAGAGATACTGAGAAGGTACGTGTAGAGAGTCACCTCGCACGTCTGGAAAGCGAGCTGGAGGCACAAAGCGCCCGTCTCCGAGCATACGAGCAACGACTTGATCGGTATTCACAACGTTCTCGGGATACTGATGAGTATACACGCCAAAAGGTGGCACAAATACACGAAGACATGACGAGCTGGACGAATCAGCTGATCGACCACACCAACGACACCAACCTCCACCTTCGACCTGCAGCCGACCTGCACAGGCCGACGGCAGCGTCCGCCGAAGCACCACAAGCTTCTGCAGGACAACAACGACGTACGTCACCAGGAGCAGCCTCCGCGGCAGCTTCTGCACAGACACGCCATGTGTCTCCTGTGCGCACAGAACCAACTACTGACGGTGCACCGATACCCTCACAACCATTGTCTGCGGTTTCGGTCCATACTACAACTCCTATCAAGGAGTCAGACACCGTCCGAGTCCCTGTCTTGCCTAAGATCACGCAGCTGCTCGAGTGGCAGCAAAAAGTACGGAAGAACTTTGGGGCCGCCTCAGGGCGACCATCCAAAGCATACGCCTTCCTATGCGTGGCTGAACAGCCCGAATGTACATTCGAGGACATACAAGACAGTGGAGACTTTGAGAGCATCGATTGCAAACTCGCTACCGCTCTGAGCGGCACCTTATCCTCGGACTTACGCTACCAAATCAGGCTCATCGAAACTAGAGAGCACAAAGCAGGACGCATGCTCAAAGGACGCCAGATTTACTGGCACATCCTACAGTCCTACAAAGTGACAGAGGTTGACGACGACCTGCACGATTTCGAGCGCCTTAAAGAACTCAGGATGAGAGATGACGATTTGCAACGTTTTATTACTGACTGGGACGCTTTACTCTTGGAATGCCGAGAAGCACCCGATCCAAAGATCTTGGGATTGCTGTTTCGTACACATATTCGGAGGCATGTATGGATGAAACAAGACATGTACGAGTGCCAGCGCATGAAGATGAGCGGCCCGAATCGTACCTATGGTTGGCTTCGACAGCGTGTCCTAGACATACTGGAGCTTAAACAATTGGAGAAGAATCAAAACAAGTTACGGTACGAACATGGGACACGATCTCAAGTCAACGTGTGCGCTGCCTGGGAGAAAGGCAATTGTCGCAATGGTGAACGGTGCAAGGCTTTGCACACATACTCCAGGGATTGGAAGAACAACAAATCTTCCAGAACATCAGCGGCTGGTGGCAACCCCCGCCGTAGTATGTCCACTCCTGCGAATCACAAGAAGCCCGCATCGAAACCATTTTGCTTCGATTTCGCCGAGCGCAACACATGTACCAGAGGCGATAAGTGTAATTTTCCACACGTCGCACAGTGTAAAGATTTCGCACAGAATAAGTGCCCAAAAGGCGACAAATGCAAATACGCTCATCTTACACCTGGTGCAAAGACTCCTGAGCGAAGCCCGAGTCGACCACGGACCTCCAGCCAGGATAGCCGTGGCCGATCACCATCCCGCGGATCAGGAAGCCAACGTTCTTCACAACGCGGGGGGTTTCGCTATGCAAGCGACTCACGCCATGGACGTGACAACCGACGCCAATACGACCGATCTCGTTCAACATCCAGGAGGTCCCCAGACTCTCGCAGTCAATCGAGAAGTCGATACGACAGATCTTCGAGATCTACCTCCCGAGGGCGAGACAATCGTGGCGGCGGACGCGGCAGTCCACGCGGCCGTGATAGATCATATGGTAGTGACAAAGGACGTGGCAGACGTTCCCCGAGCCATGGTTCGTCCCGTGGCTCACCCCACGCCAGAGCACGTTCTCCTGCCAACTTTCGACGTTCACGTCGTTCCGACCGCAGTTACGTCATCCGTGACAAGACCCTCATGGCCAACACCAAGGCCACAGCGACATCTACCAAAACACGTCGTCGGATACGCTTCGACATACGTAACGTGGAATACTATTTACATACCGTATCTGGCAGGGCCAGATTGGATAAATAGAAAGAGATGCCGAACGAGGGTGACATCGTCAATGTACCAGACCCGTTACCACAACGATGGTGGGATCAAAGTGCGGATGCCTTACGAGAATGTAAAGAGGA